GATCTTCCAACAACAGCCAGGGTTAAGCCTGGCAAAAGCCAGGAGCTTCATTGTGATGTCCCACATGGTAACCAGGGGCCCAAGCACTTGGGCCTTCTCTTGCTGCTTTTTCCAAGCCATTAGCAGAGAGCTAGATCAGAAGTGGAACAGTCAGGACTCGAACCAACACCCATAAAGGATGACAGTATCACAGAGGATGGCTTAATCCACTGTGCCAAAATACCTGCCCCCAAATTTGAGGCATCAGGAAGATGGGGTCTTTGGGTAGTTAGGTTGTGGGAGCTCCACCCTTACAAGGGGACTAATGTCTTTCTGAAAAGATGGGGTTAAGTCTCTCAAGACTGTATTAAAGCCTGCAGGAATGAGTTAAACTTCATGGAACTACTCTTAGACAAGGACCCCTCTCTATCTGCTTATCCCATTTCAATTCTCTGCCATGGGTCAATGCCACACAAGAACCTCATAGGAAGCTCAGCAGTGGCTGGAACCTACTTCTAGATCTGCACAACCAAGAGCAAAATAAACCTCTTTTATTTGTATCATCCAGTCCTAGATATTTAGTTAGAGCCATGGAAAATGGACCAGGGCAGAATAAATAAGTGGGCATTGTTCTGCCACGATAACAATCCAAGACTCCATTGAAACTTACAGTATCAGCCTGATATACCACAATCTCCTTTCCACTCCCTGATCGCTTCTCCATGTCATGCCCCAGCAGTGCCCATGGTAACTGCATAAGTACCTTGGCAAGGACTGAGAACAGCTGCACCTGCTGGCACAGGTCCTGCAAGTATCCCCTTCCCTACAGCTCAGTGGTGGGTGGCTGAGGAGTTGGTGACTTCTCAGCTTCTGGGGTACCATGGGCTCTTCCCAAGGGATCTATGTGCTCGTTCTTGCTCTCTTTCTTCAACAAGGTCAAAATGAAGGGGTCTAGAATGCCCAAGCCCCTGATTAGGAGCCCCCGGCAGACAATGTAGAAGAGGACAACACTTCAAGTACAGGGATGGAAGGAAGAAACTGGAAGTCAAAGGAAATTGCTTTAATCCCTGCGTTGCAGCCTCTCAGATACAGTCTGGAGACACCACATAGTCTCAGCCCCAAATGCTTTCAGCATCTGCACTGTGGCACCTGGACAGGTTTTGTTTTTCCTCCGTGCCTCTGCTGACTCACATCCCAGAGCCACGGAAGGGGCGAGGGCTCCTTCTGGGACCTCAGAGCAGCCATGTCCCTGCTCATGCCCGGGGATCTCCTCTGCTCACAGCGGAATGTTCACCTCGAACCTCTCAGCTTCTGTGCTTCCAAGAGCAGCTCCTGGCATGCGTGCACTTGGCTGTGAAGTCTGCTCGCTCTGCCTAGACCCTTGCCATGCTTGCAATCATAGGCCTTCAGGACACCGGACTCCTGGCTGAGAATTTACTGCCCCTGTGGGAGTCCTCACTTCACTGAATGTCTCCAGGACAGACTAGGAGCCCACAGGGGTACATTCTGGTGCTGTCCTGCTTCCAGCATGGTGTGTGGCACGCAGTGAATAAGAAACGGCACACGAAACTGACACAGTGGATGAAAGGGCAGAGGAGCAAAGACGCCTCTGAAAGAGGGATGACTAAGGGCTCCAGTCTTAGACATCTCTGAGATAGCTTACCTGAAATTTCCCAGAACAGTTGGGAAGGCCTTTTACAGTATCTATTTATCAAAAATAGCTCAAAAGCTTGTTGTTGCAGTTGTAAATTCCTGAAGGGCTTCCCCGGGTGTCTTTTGAAAGAAGGAAAACAGATTCCCGGCTCTGCCTCCCAGCTTCTTCCTCCCACCTGGCTTCTCACGTCCTGCCCCTCGGTCCCCAGTTGTCTTCAGTCTCGCTTATCTCTGTCTCTTGCTCTCTCGATCTCTATCTCTGTTACTCTCTTTGTATCTCTCTCTGCTCCACACACACACACACACACACACACACACACACCTTATAGATGAGCTCTCGCGTCTCTCTGCACTGCCTGGCGTGGCCTCATCCATCCTTGGCTGCCCAAGGCTCTGCCGTAGCTAAGTGACCTTGGTCGGGGGACCTCAGCAGTGTCTCTGAGCCACATCCTCTTCGTCAGCAAAACCAGATAGGCAATGTCCCTCTCAGCAGACGGCCACAAGGAGTAAATGAGATCATGCTGGAAATTGCAGCGGTCAAGTCCCACGACAGGCCCTTCCTCCCCGACCATGAGCTCTGGGAAGCTGATAGCCTTTGCATCACCTACACACGTCACTGAGGCCTGGGAGACCCTCATGGAAGATGACCTTGCCCTGAAGATCTTTCCCCAATGATCGGCCCCTGCTGCCCACCCACCTCCCTCTGACCCCCAAACCAGATGACCATCTAGAACTTGGTGTTCTCTGGTCCCAACTCCCTGGTCTTCCCATCCTGACTCTAATGTGGAGTGAAGCTACCTGGATGGACATTCCCTTAGGCCTGACCTTCCCGTAGCCAGTCTGAGCATAGGGCAAAGCCCCTGACAGTCTGATTGCCCTGGGCCTGCCGTGAGACAGCCAGTATCCAAGGTGACTCCAACTGGAGAACGGGGACTTGAACCTCTGATAGCACTGGCATGATACTAAGGAAGGAATCAGTGAGATAATTGATGATGAGAAGTGACCAATGGGATCGTGGGGTGGGGGGGAGATGCTGGTCTTTTCCCCTGACATACTTTCTGGGCTCCAAAACAGGCATCCCTCTGCTCTGTGGCCTTTCAGAGCACAAAACCAAGCTGTCCCCCTCTCATTTCTTTCTTTCCTTTTCCTGCCCCGACCCGTCCCTCTCTTGCTGTCTGGTGGCTCCATCTGCTCTCCCCCCCTCCCCATTTCCTTTCCAACTCCCCACTTGACTCCTTCCTTCTAGCTTCCACAATGCCCCGCCGTTCCCGACCCACCGACCCACCGTGCTGACCCCCTCCTCCCATTGAAACATTTGCAAACCGCAGGTTCCTGCCTCATCCCAAGACACCGTTGTAAGAGGTTCTGGACACACACACTTACACAAAACAGTTTTATTTCATGAACCACGGTGACTAGCAGGGTCAGAAATTAGCATATTCCAAAGAAGGGACATGTGGGCCACTGAGGCAGCCTCCCCTGCCCTCTGCCCTAGGCCACAGGTGACTTAGCTCTGGTCGGGAGTCTCTGCAGGTCACTCAGGAGGTACCTTCTAAAAGCCTTACCCTGGACCGCATACTTTGAGAACAGCCCTGCACAGACAGGGACTACGCAAAGTTCCTCCCGTCTTGTCCTCCCCTCAATCCCAGAGCTGGCTCCATGCCAGCGGTGGCCGAGATGTCCGTTTCCATCAAGCCAGGTTCTTCCTGTCACCATCACACATGTCCTGCCTTCATCTTCAGTGATCTCCACACACAAAACCCGGAACAAACAGCCCCTCCCCTCACCACCACCACCACAAAGACTTCATCACTCATTTTGTCCTGGACGCTTCTCTAGTGGTGTAGACATGACACTGTCCGTCCCCTCCCCCATCACAGCTGCTCCAGCCACTGTTCCCAGCCCCTCAACCCAGCAGGAGGAGCCAGCAGATCCAATTTGGAGTCCTGAAAGAAAAAAAAAAAAAAAAAGAAAATCCCACTCCTCGAGTCGGTCACCCATCACAAGCAAGTGGCTCCTTAGCAAGATGACCTCCAACCCTGGAAAAAGGAACAGTGCTGAGGGAACTGCCCATTCGCTCAGAGCAGGGAACCAGAAAAGGAAGGAGCCCTCAGTGCAGCAGGACTTCCCCAAGCCTTGGATGCCACCAGGGAGCTCCTTCCAGGGAGCCTGGCACCAGCACAGAACTTCTTTGAAGCACGGACCAGCCGTCAATGTCCCCCAAGTCCAGTGGGGGTGGACTCGTTCCTATACTACGTTGCCCCATCCATGTCCCTTCCACTCTTCATAGTACTATGCGAAGAGCAGGGTTGCGGTGCGGAGAGGGGGTGTCAGGGACAAATGTCCAAGTTCCTTCATTGATGAACAATTCTTCATGTTACGCTCACCCAAAAACAGATGCACACAGATGCAAAGCAAGCATCACCCGCCCCAGCCCACCCCCAAAGGACTCTGTAAGCAGCCCTGGTGCCCTAGACAAACATGGGGGGGGGCGGGGAGGGGTGATGGCGTGAGATGAGGAATGGGGGTGGGGCAGGAGAAAGCTCTGCAGCCTGTAGCTGTGGGGGAGGGGGACAAAAAAACAGACTGAATACTGACAGCCCTTCACCCGCCTTCCTGCCGTCTTCCTTCCCAGCTTCCCATTCAGATCAAGGGAGCTGTACCTTCATCAGCCTCCCGGCCTTCCAGTGGACACGGAAAATCAAGGAAAGACAAGGAGCTGCGGATGCCACAGCAGCTGGCCTCACAGAGAGGCTGCGGATGTCGGAGAGGGCAGGTGGCTCTTTCTCTTTGGGGATCTCTCTAACCCGGGTGCCTGAACCGACAGTGAACTGATCTAACTCAGAAGGGTATCCTGGAGCTCCTCGCCCCAGGGACTGTGGCCAACACACAGCTCACACCCCAGCTTGTTTGCTAACTTGCTCCCCAGAAAGCAAGACAGATAGGGTCAGTCTTGGCAACTTTCAGGATTGTTAACTTTTCGGGCCCTTCAGCATAGAGAGGTGTGTGTAGGCACGAGAGGAGGGTGTGAGGGCAGGAGACGGACAGGACAGAGGGGATTGGAGCCCAGAGAAAAAGGATTGAGCATTGACCTTGCAGAAAAAGAGAAGAAAAATCAAACGGCTTCTGAGCGAGCCAGGAGGGTTCAGACAGGTGTGCACTGAGTGACTGAGCAAGGATCGGCTGGCCTCAGCCTCCCTTCCGACCACACCACCAACCTCTGAGAAAGAATGTAGCAGAGCAAGAGGAGGACAAACCCAAGACAGGGAGCAGGGGAAAGAGGGCTGGGCAGCACGCCACTTGCTCCTCAGAGATCCGGGAGAGGCTGGGGCAGGCTGAGGGCTCCAGGCTCCCCGCCGCGCCCAGCCCTAGTCCACCACCAGCGTCTCCTGACTATAAGGGATGGACTTCTCCTGCGTCTGCTCTCCGCCCTTGCCCATGTTGGGACCATGCCCCTGGCTGTGCCCCGAAGAGTAGCTGCCCGACTTCTCCCCGCTGCCGCCGTGGAGCGAGTCCCTGCACACCATGGAGGCGCAGGCCTGGCGGAAGCGGGGGTCGAAGAAGGCGTAGAGGAAGGGGTTGAGGCAGCTGTTGACGTAGCTGATGCAGGTGCAGTAGGGGAAGAGGTTCATGAGGAAGAGATCAAAGTCGCAGGGCCAGTGAAGCAGGCTGCCCAGCATGTAGAGCGTCTTCACCAGGTGGTAGGGCAGCCAGCACAGCGCGAAGGTCACCACCAGCACCACGATGATGCTGAGCAGCCGGCGCCGCTTCCGCAGCCCCTCGATGCGTTCCTTGCGGAAGTGACTGGCGATGGTTCGCGCGATGAAGAAGTAGCAGGTCAGCATGATGGTGAAGGGCACCACGAAGCCCACAGCCGTGGATGAGATCCCCAAGCCCGCCTCCCAAGCCCACTCCGAATTGGAGGGGGCCACCACGGAGTAGTCCATGTAGCACTGTACCTTGGTGCTGTTCTCCAGGTCCCCGGTGGTACGGAACACCATGACGGGCATGGCCAGGAGGGCGGCCAGCACCCACAGGACCGCCGTGGCCACTGCCCCGCTCACCCGCAGCCTCAGCCGAGCGTTGGCCACCGGCCTCACGATGGCCAGGTAGCGGTCGAAGCTGAGACCGGTGAGGCAGAAGACGCTGGCGTACATGTTGACGAAGATGAGGTAGCTGCTGAGTTTGCACGAGAAGGTGCCGAAGGGCCAGTCGTAGTCCCGGTACGTGTAAGTGGCCCACAGCGGCAGGGTCACCACGAAGGTGAGGTCGGCCACCGCCAGGCTGGCGATGAAGATGTCGGCCGAGCGCCTCTTCTCACGGCTGGTCCGAAACACGGTCCAGAGCACCAGGCCATTGCCCGTGGTGCCCAGGAGGAAGACGAGCATGTAGATGGCAGGGATGAGGGCCCCCGACGACTTCCAGTCTGCGTACTCACACTCAGACTGGTTGTCCGCCCCATAGTAGTTGTCAAAATCACCACCTTCCTCCATGCTGGGGAACGGAGAGAGAGACAGGCAGGTCCTTCCTCGGAGATCAGCTCTGTGGTTCCCTCACCAACTCAGCAGGCACCCTGAGCTTCCAGGGTGAGCCTGGGGACGAGAAGGGAACACGGTGCCCCGAACCGTCCCCACACACAGTCCGAGGGGTGGCCTCTGACTGCCAGACCCCGAGGAGTAGGGGGCCTCTGTCCTGCAGACTGGCCTCCGCTCGCTGGGCCCTGCCCCAGTCTCAGCTGTGACACTTCCTTGCACCCTCCTGGGTCTGTCTCCTCGGACACTCCAGGCACTCCCTCCTCCCACCTCCAGCCCAGCCCCTCACTGGTGAGTCTTAAGATCTTCAAGTCACAGCCCACTTTTTTTTTCCTTTTTGTCACTGGGCAAGTGGACCAAATTGACTCCTGCTGTGCTGGGCAGAACACTTATCAGTGGCTTGCAAGGCTGCTGCCTCCTGGCCCTCCTCCTCCCCCTGGCTGCCACCCAGCCCCAGCCCAGCCTTTCCTCCTTCCCTCTCCTCTGCCCAGCACCTCATGCCTGCTCTTCAGGGGCACCCCTCCTGTGTCCTCTCCCAGCTCTCAGTCCCTCCCATCTCCTCTAAATGGGATAAATTATGTAGATCGGAATCCAGCCTGAGCTGGGGCCTGGGTGGGCAGGGGGCAAGGAGGGTGTGAGATTTCGCAGGATGGCTGGAGCATCTGGTGGGGCCTCCTGGCAGGCAGCTCTGGGTACCGGCCCCCTTTGCTCCCCTGCTGCACCACCGGCCAGGCTCAGACACAATTTGCAGCATGCTTGCTTCCTGCTCATCTCACTTCATCTTCCTCTACCCCTTGCCTTTGGTTCTCTCTCTCTCTCTCTCTCTCTCTCTCTCTCAATCCCTGTCTCACAAGTTCTAAACTCCATAAGCTCTTGGAGGATGGAAGTTTGCAGTGTGCAGAAGGCAAGTTTCGGGAAAGTTGAGGATGCAGTCACAGGATGCCAGACGCCAGAGTCCGGAATGATGCCTCATCGGGTCATTAAGTCTACCGGGAGACAGATCCCAGAGATGAATGTCTTGCCTAAGGTCACAGGGTGAATTTTTTAATGGTTGATTGTTGGCTTTTGGTCTTATGCATGGAACACGGCGTCTGGTAATAGGTGTAATAGGTGACGACTACTGGGTGGTTTGGGAGTGAGTGGGTGGGTAGGTTAGGGAAGGAGTGTGGAGCCCCCAGAGAGAGGAACCAGTGTGAAAATCGCTATGCGGTCAGAACATAGACCTACTTTGATCCTCAGGTTCTTGCTGCCCCCCATGGGCCAGGAGGTTTCTAAACTGTCATGCGAGGTCAGAAAATGAAGAAGGCAGAGAAAGAGACAAGCACTCAGTGGACCCCACAGACTGAGACCCACAAGAAGTCATTTTGCCCAGGCTGGTCACCTCTCTAAGACTTCCAGGCAAGAAGGAAGGCAGGAGGCACAGGACAGGATAAGTCTGCAGCGTGTCCACTGCCCTCAAGAGTGCAGGAGGTGGTCCTGGCATGATGGCCTAGCAGCGAAAGACCTTGCCTTGAACACGCCAGGATCCCATATGGGTGCCGGTTCTAATCCCGGCAGCCCTGCTTCCCATCCTGCTCCCTGCTTGTGGCCTGGGAAAGCAGTCGAGGACGGCCCAAAGCTTTGGGACCCTGCACCCACGTGGGAGACCCGGAAGAGCTTTGGATCGGCGCAGCACCGGCCATTGTGGTCACTTGGGAAGTGAATCATTGGACGGAAGCTATTTCTCTGTCTCTCCCTCTCTCTCTCTCTCTCTCTCTTAAGTGTGCTCTGCCTATATATATATGACTTTGTAATAAAAACAAATAAATATTTAAAAAAAAAAAGAGTGGGGGAGGCCAGCCAGAGTGGGACAGGAGTAAGATGAGCAGAGCACAACCAGGAGATGCGTCTCACCCACCAACAAGGCACAGACTGACACAGCTGGACCGCAACTCCTGGAGGGACGGGCTTCTTCCCACAGGGACCCCTAACTCCCAGACCTACAGAATCAGGCCTGGGGTATGTGGGTATGGAGATAATAGGGCACCGCAGAGACTTTGGTTTAAAAGAGAGGGGCATATGCACCCCCAAGCCCAGCTCCAGGCTGTGGTGCCATGCAGAAAGGGGGACTCCTCGGGCCACGTCTCAGGATCTTTCCAAGCAATTTCAAAATCTGAATTCTGATGAGAAACATTCCCCAATCTGTAAATCTAAGAATTAATCACATTTTTAAAATGAAGCAGAACAAGTCAGACGTTCCTCCCGGGCCCCAGCTGGCATCCTCAGAAGGTGGCAGAGCGACAGAGGGAGGAGGCCGGGAAGCAGGAACGCGAATGCAAAGGTAGGGAGATGAAAAGCAGCGCACGCAACGCCCTCAGGTGCCGCGGCGGAGAGAAAGGCAGGCGGGACTGCAAGCCCGGGGAACTTTCCCTCAAGTCAGTGTGCCCTGGGAACCCTGTGTTCTAAGCATCTCACGCATTTTAATGATCTCCTTCAGTCACCAATCAGCTTCATCAGAGAGGGGAAGGGACTTGGCCAAGGTCGCCCAGCTATGAATCTCGGAGCCAGAATGGGAACCCGAGCTGCCTCGAACCCGCTGGATCAAATCACTGTGCCCGCCAACCCCAGTGAGGAAGACATTCAAACTCAACTCCAATGAGGAGATGTGTCACCTGTCAAACATTTTGGAAACGTAGGGCAATGCTAGGGGACTTGAACTTTGCTTTAGAGTAAGCTCAATTAAAAATAGGATAGGGGAATCCTGTGAGGCTGCCATCTGCACATTTTACGCCATAGACTTGATCCAGAAACTTCCCTGTGTCTAGTCATTGTCAAAAACAAGTTCTGAGTGCTCAGTGCTAGTTCAGAAGCTAACAGGTCCGTGTTTCTGGAATCTTGCTGTCTGTCAAATGATGACGAGGTATTCAGATAGGACCCAGTGCCAAAGGGTCATCAGCCTCGTGGCACACACAAACTCAGAACTGCCTAGGGGCCTGCTTGGTCCCTCAGGTTTGTCTAATAAAAATTGTGCATGCGTGGGCATTCCACTCAGAGGGTAATCTAACACTCGGAATGGGAACATCCTGTACTGGAGTGCCTAATTTTACCTCCTAGTCTCTTTTCTTGCTAAGGTGCACCAAGGGTAATGGCTCAAGTACTTGAGTCTCTGCCTTCCACGTGGGAGACTTAGATTTAGTTCCTGCCTGGTGGCTATAGTAGGCATTTGGGGAATAAAGCAGCAGAGTGAACTAACTCTCTCTCTCTCTCTCTCTCTCTCTCTCTGTCTCACTATTCCCTACCCCCTTTCAAATACATTTCATTTTTGAAGAAGTTCTGTTCAGGTAGCAGAGTGGCTTTCACTGCACCCTGCCCGCATGTCTGAGCTGAAATGGTTCAGTTACACTTGCCTTTTTTGAGGGTAGCTTATCTTTCCCTACCATAGAAGACCCAAGAGGTGCACAGGGACCAGTCTGGCCCAGGTTAGATCAGAACAGAGGGTCCTGTTATGAGGGAAAACAATGACCAAGGTTGAAAGCCCTAGTGACCCCAGACCTTCCCTGACTAAGCTCTTTGCAGCTGGGCACATGGGGAAGGCAGCAAATAAGCTGGGCTGGACCAGAGATCAAACCCCCAGTAACCTCTCCTCAGCTGCTCCTGGTGAATCCTACACCAGACCCTATGAGAGAGGATATGGACCCACCTCTTTAATCCCTGACCCCCATCAGGACTCTGCACCCCAGAAGTGGGGGTGGGGGATATACAGAAGTAGTTCATCTCCCCAGGAGAAGCCAGATAACATTGGAAGAGAAGAGAATTAGGGACCAGGGAACTTGGAGGGGCTGGAGGTCTGATAAGATGCAGCCTCCAGCCAAGAACCAGCTGGAGCCAGATGGCCTGGCAGCCCCGCAGTGAAAGCCTGACCCAAAGAGAGAGACCAGTGGCCAATGGCTGGCCTGGAGGCTCAGGCATTCCCTATGCCCTGGGCACAAGCTAGACCTGGGACAAAGACATGCTTTTCATTTCTACATCCCCTGAGCATGGCAGGTGCCTGGGATAGGTCTGCTGAATAAAGGCAGTAGAATCGTGCTGGAGAGAAGGGCAGTGATGACGTGCATCTTCACCCCAGGCTGCTCAACTGCAGTAACAACGGCACCTTTTTGCCAAAGTGATCTGGACTTATCTACTCTGAGCAAGCCCACAGCCAAGGCAGGACTGCAGGCCAGGGACCCTGGACTGGCCTGGAGAAGTTCAAAGAGGTTTCCTAGGGGAAGTCCTCCCTCTCAGGAATGATTTCTTCGGGGTATTGTGAAGAGCCTGAGATGAACAGTTCCTGGCAGACCTGCTGCAATGCCCAGGGGCTCAGCTGCCTTCGTACACCCCCACCCCCTGGCTGGGCCATGGCCTGAAACAGAAGACAAAGCCTTGGGTGTGTGTGGCCACGTGCCCTCTGTGAGTGCAAGTCCTGTGTGTGCTGTGAGGACACTTGGACGCTAGCGCTGTGCATGCTGTGACACACTGGGCTTGTGTGTGTCCTTGGGGCATGAGCGTGCATGGATGCAGGTTATGTGTGCATGTGCAACACTGCACATGCTCATGCGCATGAGAGCTGTGAGTGTGCATATAGGAGAGTGTACTTGTGTGTGAAGTGTGTGTGCACTGAGTACAGGCATTCGTGCATATCTGACTGCTTACTTGTGTGTGTGAGAGAGAGGTGTGAGTGTGCTCTGCATGAAGACATCGTGCATGTAAAAGAGTGTAGTATGGCCGGGATCTGGGCAAACATCCTGCTTGCAAGACAGGAAGGACTGGCTAATTGGATCTCTAAGAGTTTAGGGGAAATGCTGGAACCCTGGTGCAGCCCTCGCCCAGCCCTTGCGCAGAGCTCCAGGCCGGGGACATCAAAGTGGAAAAGCTGCCTCTCTCTGCCCCTTCCTGACTTCTCACCTCCTCCCTCCCTGCTCTCTGCGGCAGCCCCCTCACTT